GCTGACCATATAATTACTAATTAAATTAAATATCGGTACGCCAAAGTAAATCCGGGTTTGTTTGCTTGCCATGGATGCATTTTGAGAGAACGAGGCCCAAGCAATGCCAAGAACACACATTGCTTAAATCGCTGAAAAATATGCTTTGACTTCTTTTCTAGCAAAGTGCACAATTTTTTAGACAATATCCAGACTATTTAAAGTAAAAATAAGCCCTCACCTTGCTTCTTACCCCAAGGTGATGAAAACACCTCCAATTTATTTGAACATTTTATTTATTTGAACAATTTATTTTAAACAATGTCTCTGCCATATGGTTACAAAGACATCTGAAAACACACAGTGAACGATGTCCTGTTATTTAAGACAACCAAAAGTAACATTATGCAGAGTGAGTTATGCAGAGCAAAAGCAAATGCATTTTTACCATCGCATGCTGAAAAAAGTACAGTAAGTCAAGCTAGTTTTTATGCCGTAATCTAAGATGATGACGCAGGATTATTTTGCCACGTTGAAAAAGATTGTGAAAGAGTTGCTGTGGTGAAAATTTTGCCGTGAAAGTAAAATTGTTTTTCTCTAGAGAATAACGCCCCAGTTTCTGTCTTTGTAAGAACACGACAAAGATTTAGCTCTGAGCGGAGAAAAAGAAGCGTTTTCCTCACACGAATTGCGAGTTTCATTTGTCAAAATTTTCCCAACCCAATGGTTAAAGTGTGGCTGGCTGTTACTGGCTTCCTTAAGAAACCTTAAAGTTTAGGCAAGTTTCACTAGATATGATGTTAATGCTTATCTATGTGTAGTTTTTTTCGTTGGGAAGAACAATCTTTTGTTTACTCAATATTTACAATGGCCGAACAAAACCAGTTGACCTGTGAGGGAGCACCGCACGAAAAAATGAAGTTTTGGAGCATAGCGGGGTTGCAAACGCTGGAAGGAGGAGAGTAGGAAGAAAGTTTAAGCGGAAAGACAGGGAGATTAGCCAGTTCTTAGACCAGCTGGCTACCCTGTGCTGGGGAAAGGGGTGAGCGGAATGAAAGATGTTAAAAAGAAATGTGCACCTTCTGTGTGAGTGCACTCATTTCAACGTACAAAGACAAGAACTCACTGCAGCTCTGGATAGACTTGACGATCGGCCTTTGTGGGAACAAAGGATTCTGGGTCATTGGCCGAGCCCATCCTCAGCCCAGAAGGCTTTGAAAGCTTTGCTGCGCTTTTTGCGGACAACTGGCCTCAGGGACAGACTTTAGTGTCTTATACTCTTTGATGTTGCCTTTCCTCTGTCGCAATTCTTTTTGTAATTTCTCCCTCTCTTCGCAAACGCTGGAAATACTTTTGTGGTAATGCGCTTCCAAAGCATCCACTCGAAATTACTTCAACTCTTTAGCCGCCTTCATGATACTTATTCAGTAAAGGGCAGCCTACTGGGCTGAATCCTGGTTATCTTGCCTGCATTTCTTGTATATAATTCTTATTGCCTCTTCTGAATGTAAGTGTCTGATCGGCTCGAAAAGCCAGCTGACGAGAGTCTCTCCTATGCGAGGCCTCTTTACTTCAAGGTTGCTTGGACCTGATGTGAAATCCAACCGATCTAATAGGTTGCCAAACGAAGGAACTACCCCGCTTCGCACGCACACGCTGGGAATCTACGTTCCACTATCTTCCAAAATTAAGCAAATACTCATAGAAATGCCAGTGTTTGATGTAAGGGCAGCACTCATATAGAGGCGACATGAACTAGCATTGCAATCGAGAGCGCACAACGAGCGCGTTCGTTGGGCTCGGCTCACTTGGGGAGTTACTTTCGCAGCGTAACGAAGACACGCCCATTCCGCTCCCGTGTTTTATTTTTGTACTTGCGTGTCGCAGCGTGTACCTCCGTCACTGCTACGCTAAACGCCTGTTTTAAGTGTTACTGGTGCACCTTTTTTTTGCCTCGCCTTTTTGCGAATTCTCGTAACTGGGAGACTGGAAATAAACTCCCCTCTTGCTGCTCTGTTCTGAAAAACTGCGCGATATTGCAGAGTGCAGAGGCACACGTGTTGCTGCTGGGCTAGCAACGTCAGCGCAGCATGCTATAAGTAGTCGTGTGAGAAATGTGACTACTTCAGCAGCGTGCTTACAGTGTGAATATTTTTAATGTTGCCGTATGCATGGTATATCATTTATGGCGTTCAATGTGTGCAGCCAGCAATGACTTAACTTTTCAAAGCAATAACTAATGTGAGGTGATGCGCTGCCGTGGAACATGCCGGTGGTAGATTCACAAACGCCCCTCGACTCGACTTTCACCCTTCACTTGAGAGAGTAGAGCACTGCGCCGCTGTGCGGCTGAAAGTGACGCTACGCTACTTAAGAATCGCCGCAGATTATTGCTGATATGCAGTGACTTTCCCTACCTAGAGACGGCGCTCCCATCGGCCTTCTCAAGTGAAGGTGAAGTGTTGAGTGGAGAGACGTTCTAGAATACGGGGTTAAGACACGAAAGGTGACGCTTCAAAAAAGCCACAGTACTCGCATATTAGATTTTCCGCACTTTCGTGTCGGAAAGATAGCATTGCATAGAAGTCCTACATATAATTAATAGGCCTATAGTTCAAAGCTGACTAACCAATCTGAATAAATCGTATGCAATAACCTGAATTAATGCAAACGAATCACGTGCCATTACTAAAATGTGTGTGTATACGCTTGCTTCAAAGGTGGAAGGTTTTTATTATTAGCTATGGTACTTCTGTATCGCACTCTTGGCTATCAATGTCAGTGTATATTTGGGGGCAGGAGTTTCAGCGGCATTGGTCGTGCCCTTTCGTCATTGTGGAACGCGAAAGGGTACAACTCTCTTTTCAACCGACGTGGTGCTATATATGCAGCGCCTGTTGAGTAATTATTCAAGATTTAGTCTGTAAAGAAATCTGTATCACTGCATTTATTGTACCTTTATATCCTTCATTGTATCATGACATCACGTTGATACTTTGTGTGTATAAGTATGCAAACATAGTCATGTAAATCAGAGCAATGGTGTCTTCATTGCAACGTGGTGATGTTTGTCGTGGTACATAGATGTGCCGAAGTGTATGTGCCCTACTACTGGATTGTTATGATTGTTATGAAACTTTTGTTGTCTGTACATAGTGTAAATAAACATTTCTAAACTATTTATGTTTATGTAAATGAAGTCAGTTTTGTCAAATTCGTTAATGTATGTCTAACAAGAATATGTCCTGCTGAAATGTTATAGACATCTGTGACAATAACATTTTCTAAAAACAGCATTTATCACGGGGTTTCCTAAGTTTCCTTCAACTAAATATTGTTGCAATGGTGTCGGCATGAAATATACTGCTTCTGAGAAATATTATTACTGGCATACAACTACATTTGCATTTTCTCTAGGCCCAATCTTTCAAAAATTATTCTATATACAACAGTCGTTATGGGGCGTAATTGCCAATCAATTCACATGTTTCTTGCATAACCATGCTTTTGCCGCCGAAATTCTAGAATGACACCACGAATCAGGGCTTGCATTCAAAAGAACATATTAGTGTATCATATTTCATAAGATGATCTTTCAGCCAGTGGTGATTCGAGGCATATCATAAGTGAGGTTATAGCCAGCCAATGGCCCAGAACGCTTACGATTAAAAAAGGTTTTGTATGCGGCCCTGTTTTTGCTGCAGCTAGCCAGTATACGTTACGTCAATTAAACGGACGTGTTTAGTCCGACCGTTAGTCTACGCAAAATTAACAGAAAACTGGTACCATATTGAACCAGCACGCATGATTTTCGTCCGCTCCATCTAAGTCCTGTTCTTCATACTCTGCTTCAGTCTGAGTACACGTGCGAATATTTGTACGGCGTGGTATAAAATAATTGATGGGTGAGAGAACGCGTAGAGAAAAAGAAATGAAGAGACATTGGAAACATGTACACAGGGTTAAAAAGATATGAAAAAGTTATATATATATATATATATATATATATATATATATTCATATATATGGGGTATGGCACAACGGGAGCGTTCTCAACAAGGATAAATATATTTATTTCCCAACAGTTTAGGGAGGGGTCCTCCCTATATATATATATATATATATATATATATATATATATATATATATATATATATATATATATATATGTATATATATATATATATATATATATATATATATATATATATATATATATATATATACTTATAACACAAAGCAAGACAGAAACAGAAGGATACAAAGAAAGATAATTAAGCAAGAGGAGTGCACGAAATGAATGCGACAATTAGACAGAAAGAAAAGAGGAAAGAGAAAAGAGCAGGACATAGAGAGAAATAGAGAGAACGGAAAAATAGAAATAGACAAAGAAAAAAAGATAGATTAAAACACAGAGAAAAGAAGAACGCAAAAAAAAAGAAATATTGAAACAGAATTAAAAAAAAAACAAGGTAAGGCACCCAGCTCCAGCTTCCTCTTAGGATTGACTGCGCTAGTGGAAAGCAACCTTAATTATTAAATAACACTCCAGAATCAGCTTACACACATGCACTTGTTACGGTCAACGAATTTCTTTCTGAACGTTTTCCGTATATATTTTTGCGACCTTCTGCGAACAACTATGAGTTAGTTTTCGTCCAGATCCACTTCTAGAAGGTTTTTAGTCGTCTCGATGACAAATGGAAGCGCTTCTCTGAGAACCTTTGGACGCATTTTTCCCGACAGCTGCTGTCGGGCTCTTCAATGCGGCGCTTTAAAATGCAGATGACGACGTCTTGCATGTCGTCGCGCTTGGGGACGCCTCTGGGTGCAAAACGCGGCACCCGTTCGTCTCCTATATGGCCGAAATTTCGCCCTGACCTGGTTCTTGCCCTGAAATGGGTCGTTTTCGTTAATTTTTCGGTTTCGCGAGCGAGAGTGGTTTGTATGACGACAGCGAGAAGGAGATCTGTATATATAGGAATGTGGCACGCAGATGACATCTCAGGACCTCACCGAGAACGCACGAGGAATACGTACACCACCGAATCATGTTTGTCGAGGTAAGCGACCTGCACTCGCTATACATTAGTCATCGTTCGAGACAAGACTATCGGGATATCCCGAGGAATATTCGACTTCAGGGCCATGGTTGTTTTCTGCTATTGGATATCGATGTATGGATACATTGTTAGCACGAAACTAGAATTCGAGGGTCACCTATTCATCAGGGGGAGAGTGTTGATAATCATATGAAGCTCGGGACTTGCGCGCATGAAGTGACAAAAAAGTGATCAAATCTACTGGTGTTAAAAGCATGCAGTACGACGTCCCGTCAAGGAGGATTTTCGTTTACTTGAACAGTGTCATGAAAGCGTCCATTGAAGTGCCCTATCCACAAGCATGGTAGCTGAAATTTCGTCACGCCGAAAGAGACCTGGTGGTAGTCGAAGTTACAATGATGAGTTGGCAGGAGATCGTGCAGTCGTGAGTAGCCACATCCGAGCAAAATGTCATGTAATTACGCTATTCGACAAACAATTGTAAGAAGCTGCCATAAGCCGTGATAAGGAGCCTAAAGGTATATTGTGCATAACCAGAATTGTCAATCTAAGCGTTATGTCACGCTCCGCCGTGGTGGTCTAGAGTGGCTAAGGTACTCGGCTGCTGACCCGCAAGTCGCATGATCGAATCCCGGCTGCCATGGCTGCATTTTCGATGAAAGCGGAAATGGTGTAGGCGCGTGTGCTCAGATTTGGGCGCACGTTAAAAAACCTCAGGTGGTTGAAATTTCCGGAGCCCTCCACTAAGGCATCTCTCATGATCATATGGTGGTTTTGGGACGTCAAACCCCACATATCATCAACAAGCGTAATGTCACTTTGTTGCTTTTGAGGTTTGAACAGCTTCAGTGTGCTGAAGACTGAAGTAATTAAAAATTATTTGCCAAATTTGTTACTATTGTCAAGTTGCTAGTGCTTTTTATACAGGCGTGCTACCATTCTCTCTTCGCAGTCTGCAGACAGGAGAAACAAAAGAGACAATCCCGATGATTCGTATTGCGTAGCAGACCCGTGCGGATCTCATAACGCCTTTCTATTCTTGATAGTTGGAATTGAGCTTTCCTTTCGGTGTTCCGCCTGCTTCGTAGTTAAAATTTCCCAACATATTCAGTGAGTGCTGAGTGTACAGAACGCGTATTTGATGCTTGCTTCAGCTAAAACAAACGTCGGGCCTGATGCGCATAATGACAAACAAGCTAACGTCCCCAATACACCGCCAGTCAGATAACAGTGCTAGTGATGCACTTTAGGTTTCTGTTTGTCTTTTTTCTTGTTTCGAGAAATGAACATGCACTCTACAGAATGCTCTGACAAAATCAGATAGCTGTGTAGAACCGTGAGAAAACACGAATGAGGATATTTCCATCAAATAACTCATCTCTGACTGTTGGTGGGGGTTGGGATGGTGGAGGTGCGAACGTTGCTAAGGGTGGGGTTAACCTGGTGGGCCTGATCGGCAAAAGCCTGAGCTTCTCTCTTTCCATGGATGCAGGGAGTCTCGCCACGTATCCTCTATAGACCTTTCTCTCGCGTACAAACGTGAAATGCCACAACAAAATTGTTCGCGAATCATTTACACACCTTCCGCAAACACAATCTTTTCACATTAAATCGAGAGCAAACCCTCTCTATTTTTTTTATGTTGTCTACGAGTCTCTCACTTTCAAGCCAATATTGCTTGTAGGGCCAGATGTAGTGGTATATCTCCGGAACTTTATTGCACTCAGCACATGATGAAGAAGGGGGGCCCCTTCCTTCACTTTTTGTTATTCTTTCAGAAAGAGAGAGCGAAACCGCAGAAAAAAAAGTGTCAAGTGACTACATGCCCATTCGCACCCAAGAGAAGCGTCGTCTTACAACCTCAAAGATGAATAAGTGCATCATATCACAGTCCCTGCACTAAGCAGTGCGTTTTCTCTATGTAGGCTTGTGTAAATCAACAGGATGGTGTTTTTTGTGTTGAGCAACGAACACAGTATGATGCTGCTGTCTCTACCCATATCCTCGTGCGCAGCTTGCTTTGCCTCTAAGACCGTGTGAAGGCGCTGGTGCGTGTGCGCACGATTGCCTAGCGACACGGCAAATATATAACTGTGCGAGATTTTATTCCCCCCCCTCCCCCTCCCCCCCCCCAAAAAAAAACAGAAGTAGATGCCCTTGAAACTTTATACAACTGACCCATATCATACCTTGACCACAAGATGAACAATTTCAATGTTAGCTGACCAGCTTATCTTAAGTCACTTATTTTAGGAAGGAAACTATCGGTGGTAGTCCTTTGACTGGTCCAGCAGAAAACGTACAGTAAGTCTTATTTGCGAAAACATTTTGTAGATCTGTGCGTACTTACCATGGAGCACCTTGAATATAATACCATTATTTTTCATCAGGCGCACTTACAATTGAACAGACGTCTCTTTTTTGCCTCAAAACGAGAACCTAAATCTTTTTGAAACAATAACCTGACCCTACATAATGTTTAGAGGCCATAATTGATAAACTCTGGCTGCTCCTGCAAGCAAACTGTAATATACCGTCTCTCAATGACATTAGGCATGTATTTCTACAAGACAAAAATGATTTTCTATATATATGAAGACATCAATTTGGACACACAGTCATGCGTAAAACAAAACAAAACATAATTTTGACAGCAGTGGTAGCGCTGACTTGACTTTAAAAATAATAAAGAAAGGGACATGGTCTGGAGGAGTTGAGTTCATTTGTTAAGTCGAACCTTGTTACATTGAACGCTGGTATGCATTGGTTACAGGTGAACTAATTACGAACTTCATTTAGTCAGCGATTCAGTTCAGTGCCATTTTTTTTGTAACGAAATCAAAAAGCAAGAGCCGCTGTCATGTCACTGTAAAAAGAAAGAAAATGGTTAGACTCAGAACTCTATAAGTAATAAGGCTCTAAACTCCAAAGCTTGCATAAAAAGCAAAATAAATGTAAAATAAAACTTTCAACCACCCTACTTAAAATATTTTTGGACAATTGGCGGAAACTGGTAATCGAGTGAAAAGAAAAAGAAAAAAAAAAGCATTTGACTACTTACACCATCGTATGAGGCGTGGATTCTTCCTCAAGTCACATTGCCGATTTGCTTGAGCCAATTGTTGCATTTACTGTTATAACAAGCATCCGATATAACGAACTTATGATCAGTTCTTTCTTCGTTATCTTGATGCTGGACGTGTTTAGCTATTAGGCTGTTCCTAGAACGATATATGTAAAAAAATCTTTGCGTAAGTTCAGCAGAAATATTCTTGTTGCAAAATGGTTATTGAATCCCCACGATGGCTTTGCCATTCGTCTTCTTCACTCATTACCCTACGTCACACTCAACCACAGGCGGTCTTCGTGGCGCTGTGTCTGGCAGGTGCCGCATCTGCCGGCGCAGTGCTTGCAGCACCGTCCCCATTGTACGCCCCAGCGCCAGTTCTGGCAGCACCCAGCGTCCTCGCTGCTCCTGCTAAGGCACTTGTCGCTCCTGTGGCTGCGGTTGCTGCTGTACCAGTAAGTATGGGTGCATACTCACGGAAAGCATTCGCACAGCAGTGCCTCTCTCGATTTGAACGAGTTGTTTTTTTTTCTTCTTAAAGGCCTGAAAGAAACAAGTGAAATGAAGACATGAGGGAACAGCCAGTAGGCAACCCTACAGAGCAGGAAAAAAAATTGGGAAGTTTCATTGTTAAGAGACGTTAATGGCGAATTGGTTCAGTGGAATCCCGCTAGGTGACCGTAAGGGTTAAGAAAAAAAGTGATATCTACTCATTCTCAAGCTGTAGTACTTAAACATCGTGGTGTACATTAGTTGAATCTCGCTCTACCAATTGATAAATTTTTGGCTGGCTCATCTCATAGAGCAACCGCACGGGCAAAGCGTCGGTCCTGGATTTGACACCAACATCAGCAGGAACTTCTCGGCTACACTATGGAGCTTTCTCTGTTAGATATCAGTATGAATTTTCTTGTGACTTTGTGCTACAAATGGGTGGTCATGGATTCACTTTTATTGGGAAAGTAGAGTGAGAAAGAGCCAGAAACGACCAAATAAAGACAGAGTCAACTGTGGCAAAGCGTCAATTCGCCAGTGCTGTGCGCTGTATGGCGTTACCATCAACCGTAAAAGTTTGCTTTTCCCCTCGTAATCATTCGTAAAAGCTTGCTCTTCTTTTATTTCATTCATGCCTTTGCAGACTGCCTGCTAGCAACATCGCTTGGTCGTAAAGGTGAACTACAGTGATTATGAGGTCGAATATTGTTGTCTATCGAGGATGGACACTAAATATGGCGTGGTAGAAAAGCATGACACAAGATAAAGAGAAGAAAAGGAGCAGCAGGGAAACTAAAGACCGGGATGATAAACAGTTTAGAGAAACTCGTATGGTACCCTACACAGGTGGAAGGGACGGGGTAGTTTTAAAGATTAAGGTATATATATAGAGAGAGGTAGCATATACCCTAAAAGCGACGCACATCACATTTGCCATTTGTGTCTAACCACCTGTGCAAGTCTGACGTCTTCAATGATTTAAACATCGCTCTTGTGTAGTTTTTATCGTCGGTGGGCTCTCAGGAACATACTCAAAACTGCTTTCTACCGTCTTCAGCCTGTGACATGACAGCCAGACCAACCGCGGGTGATTGTCAAAAAGAACAGGCTAATAGTAAAGCGAAGTAGCGTAAAGTACAAAAATGCACTCGTTGACTTGAAAAGCTAATATGCAGGACGTAATTTTGAAGTATCTTGGTAAAGTGCTTCTATAGATTTTCGAAGTTTTTTTTTTTTTAGAGTGAAGCATATTTGATTTGATTTGATTCCTCTAAAATGTGGCCACACCTACTCTGCGGGATTGACCAAGAAAGCATAGAGTACTTTTTCTACTGAGCATTACAACTATATTTATGAATGAATTTATATTAAAACACAAATAATGCAAGAAGAACTATATAGACTGAGAGAAAGGTAGAAAAGCAAAAAAAATCGAATTTTCCGTATATGCATGCAGGCTTTCATGTCAGCATGGCGTCTTTTGTTGTTGTTGTTGTTGTTGGCTAAGCGCAGTGAAGGTAACATATTATTGGAAAGGCCTAAAAAAAGTGAACGGACGTGCTCTTAATTATTTTCCTGGCCATAACATCTACGGTAAGAGCCTTTCATTATTTGAACGCTTTGGAGGATATCAAATACCTGTCGTTCCTGTGTTGCACTGAGGAACTACACACACACAAAAAAAAAAAAACTTCTGCCGAACTGATGCTGAAGTACTGCAGGGATCATGCGTGGAATAAATTCAGCGTGTTAGTGTTTGCACGACAAATTTCACTTGTTTTTTTTTCATTGTTAATTAGTGAGGTCGCAAGGTCTTTGGACACAAACTACATAAACCTTTACCATGACATGTCCGACACTACGGTTTAAGTCTTTGTAACTGATGTGTGTGCTTGTTAAACCTGACAAATAAATTTACTAAGCTGGGCACATGTTGTCACAAGTGAACTATGCTGCTAAGACGTTCATTTTTACATCCGTTGTCATACGTGAACAGAACATCACAAGAAATGAATGACGACACGTTCTTATTTAAATTTCTGCAACGATATAAAATTTACAGCTCTTTTTGACTTGATGTCATTGCCACACGTGTGTGCATTTTGCGAGAAATGCATCTTTTAATGAAAGGAAGCTCTTATGAAGCAACAGACGAGGTGTACTGAACACTAAATGTAAAAGAATCATGATTGATGATTGAATCTTCGTTTATTTGTAATGTTTTGGTGGTCTCTGCTAGCGTACATCGCATTTTCTCGGAAGCGCCCTCTTTGTTCAATGAGAAGTTTTCAAATGATGTGTCATTTTATTCTATACTGGTAATGCCTAAACATGTTTGCTATCCACACGTTTATGTCACGTTCTATTAGTGCAGCCACTACACTTATGCATGAGCTCTACATCAAGTAGTGTCAGCTCATACCGGAGGACGCAAATAAGGCAGAAGGTTTGTATTCGAGAGAATGACCTCAGGTATAACGTATTTACATATTACAAGGGGCTCGGTGCACCCAAACAAGTTCAATTCGTGCGTGAATCCTTAGAGGCATCGGTAGAATGGTCATTGTACCCTTTCGTCCAGAGGGCAAGTGGTCCGTTTACCATTTGCTCTGTGGGGCCGTAGAAGTCTTTTCTCTACGCCAGGCCATGAGCGCAGCAAGAATCTTACGCACACTGCATTTAAAAAGCGCTACAAAAGGGTCTGTGGCGCCACTGTCCTTAACAGCAGTCTTTTTTGCTCAGTCTTTGGAAGAGGAGGCTTCAAAACAGTCCTGTCCTCTCTTCTGCGGTGGTTGCAGCGTGGCATACGGTTTACTTTTCATGAATATGTAAAATATACTCACCACTCAATGTTCACAGGTGACAGCTCAGTCCTACTCCTTCGGTTACAACTCGGCTGACGAGTTCGGAACGCGCGTCCAGCGCCAGGAGACCAGCGACGTCAACAACGTGCGCACGGGCTCTTACAGCTATGCCGACGCCAAGGGCATCTTCCGCCACGTTAAGTACGTCGCCGATGCTGGGGGCTTCCGCGCTGCCATCGAAACCAACGAGCCGGGTACCGCCCAGGGACAGACCGCCGGCGCCCTGTACAACGCAGCCCCTCTACAGGCTGCTCCTGTGGCCGCTGCTGTGCCGTACAAAGCCGCGGCCGTACCCGTAGCAGCGCCGTACGCGGCGTACGCGGTTAAGCCTGCCGCTGCTCCAACGGCTGTTTACGCTCCGGCACAGCCAAAGTACGCGGCCCCTGCGCCAGCCTTGGCCCCTGCTCGAGCTGTCGCCTATGGACCCAAGTATTTATAAAGACGACGCAGGAAGTCTCCACTAAGCCTCGTCGCCTCAGTGGATAGAAGTCGATGATGGACACGTGTGGTGCTGAGCTATTTCTACGGTCATTAAACGTTTTGTTTTACGAATCATAAAAGCGACTTTGAATGCGATCAGACTTAGGTTGATCTTGTAGTTAGTAAACGCAGCATGGAAGTTATATTGCAACTATTCACATTCTCCGCTCTACCACGGAAGCAGTAATGTCGATTTCTGTGTACGTCAGGATTACTTGAGTAAACGGAGACCGAGGAATTGAAGGCTGTGAAAGAGTAAAGTTCTAGAATTATGAAACCATGAATGGAGCTGCACATTGTTGGATCACGGGTATGCTTAAGCTCGGCCATCCAAGGAAGTCTGTTAATCAGTATGTTGAGCTTCAACAGCCTTCGACAACAGTGTTTTAAGGGAGAAACTTTGAGCTTTGCATGGTTGCCTGGCTGTGCGGATCGTGAATACGTTCGTTCCGTTTTTCGATTACGCTTAAAATGCTTATGTTCATAATACGAAGACCTTCAACTACAAGTGTCTTTCAGTGAGGGTGAAATGGCCATTATTTCTGAGCGTGCACCGCGTATCTAGGACTGCAGCCTTTTCACTGTCAGACGCAGACGTGTAAGTGGATATTGGTTGTGATATTTTTGACGATGTTAGGTATGTGTAAACTAAACACTAACTACAGTTATATGACGCTTTTCGATTCCTGATCACGTTCCTTCTTTCTGAGCATTTGTAAAAATGCGCAATAAATTTTATTCGCTATATTCATGGTATTCAATCATTGCGCTTCGCACGAGCGTGTTCCGTAAGTTCAACAGAGAAGATAGAGAAAGGGCAACAGGAAACACAGCAGGAGCCCTGATGTTAACTAGGCTATGTTCTGTTTACCGCTCTACACGTGGAAACGAAGTGGTTAAGAAAAAGAGAAAGCACTATTGTGCACAATTGACAGCACCACTGTATATTGCAGCTTATCTTCAGGTGGGAACTTGATTTAGTGTCCTTGAAGATGTGCAAAAGAGGTCGTGTGGGTTTATGGGCTGACGAGCTGTGGGACCAAGCTCTCAATAGGTTTTGGTCAGTGAACCGTGTTTAACAAGTATTCTCAAGGCGTGCAGTTGAGTCTTTAAATGTTGGCCGAATAGAGAGCAGTGACACAAGATGTGAACAATTTGCTCTTCGTGTTCACTATTGACTCATATGGGTGAACTCGCCAACAATATTCGACAATATTTGTGGTTCAGTGAATGCAAAACAAGCCGATAGCCGGACAGCATTCTAGCGTCAAGACGAAAAATGTTCCTTGCAGATATATTTCGGAAGTCGTGCTAATGAGCCAGAGGTTGACGAAGAATAATTCTCAAACGACGACAGTGGTATCACGACGACGATGCAGTGCAGAGATATGTTGATGATGGCTTGACGATGACCTGAGTACCGCAGTCAAGCTGGAAGGATGGAGATAAAAACAGCGTGAAAATGTTCATTGCAGCAAGAATGAAAACGAATTAATAACGGGAATGGTTTTAAGATTGCGACATGACAATGGTGGTGCTGAAAGTATCGATGTCTACGGTTTGGGAACATTTGTATGCGGCACCGTCTTTCGTCAGCGACAGCAGCCAGCTGGCATAACTAAACGGGAAACAGGCAAGAAAAAAATCATATCTGATGAATTATGGTAGCTATTCAAAATGACTCCTCGTTCTACACAGCAGAGACCTAATTAAAAATTCTACGAAAATTAGTGTCGCACTACAAACCACGTGGCTTCCCACTGTGTTTATTATACATCAATGTTGCCCTATATAACTTCCGATGGTGGTGTTGAAATGTCTTGGGAAGCCACAGGCTTTTTAAGGCGATACTGCAATTTTGTGGAAGCCTTCTAGTACGTCTCTGCTGTATAGAGCCAGGAGTTGTTTCTGATAACTAGCTTTTCTCATTAGACGTAATTTGTTTTCGCCTATTTCTTGTTCAGTGATGGTGGGACACCGTTGCTACCGCCAAGTGATGGCGCCACGTATAGATGTCCCCGAAATCCTGGGAATGAGCGCGTTCATTTGCTGCTTTGTTCAGCTATTGCTAAAGATAATAGGAAGACAAACCCTGATTTCATCAACTCGTGGTTGACTGGAAGTCTGTGGCAGCCTAGGTACAAGTGTAACAGGCAATGTAGGATACTGGTTTTGAGGAGTCCGAAAGAGCACAAAGTTGGCCAATCTTACGAGCGAGTGAGAGAGCTGAAATCTGGGAAGCTTGTACAGAAGTGTGCCGCCAGAAATAGAATGCATTAAGTACACGAAGCTTTCAGAATCAACAATAAGAGAATAAGGCGTGTCCTTGAGTTAGCCGCAGTGATGTGGTAACCTTGCTCGGCTGCTCACACCAAGGTGGCGGCTTCTATCGAGGCCGCAATGTTCGAATTTCGACAGAGGTGAAGTGCTATAGGCGCGCCATCTCTGTGCGAGGTTTGCGTACGTTCAAAAGACTGTAAAGAGCAAAACATTTTTTTCTAGTAGGAATGTACAATATCGCTATCCCGAAACCACTACCCTAACTACAGCCCGATGCGTGGTAAGGGAGAAAACACGCGAAAAGGAAATGCGGGTGGGGCGTCAAAGACAGCGGGGCGTCAAAGATTTTCACGGCGTGTACTGTGCCCTACGTAGCTTCTAATTGATAGAAATGAAGTGCATTGTCATCTGTGAGTGCCACAGACCTATAGGAAGTTTGTGAAAATTTGGTTGATCTAATGTTACGAAAATACCGAAAGTATTTTGCGAAATTTCTGAAGTCACACACGGAGATTTCGGTACGACATTTAAAAAGGAAACTTTCACTTTGATTTTCTCGCTCATGAGGAAATTTTTATATAAAACAGAATTAAGGTATTCACAGTGTGCCTTCTCAATCTAAACCAACTGATTGGTTTTCTTTATTGTCTCTTTAAGGAAGCCCAAATGGTACAAATTTCTGAAGCCTTCCCCAGTGATTTGTCTTACAATCAAATCAAGGTTTGAGCCTGTAATATCGGACGCTTTCATATTATTCTTATTCAAGGTAATATTCTTAATTTTGTTCTTCCTAGTATTAATTCCTTACGTTGTTTGTATTTGTGAGATTGTGTACATGTCGCGCTGAAGTGAACACTTTTTTGACCCTAGGCAAAAATCATGCTGATGTATATTCTTGGCAAATTCTTTTAAAGGGGAGTATGACTGTGCTCTGAGTTTTTCCAGGCACACGCCTTTGAGTGGCTGGTACAGTATATTCTATGTATAATAATTCAGTAGCTGGCTATACTGATTAGGATTACAGTGGTTGTGAAAAGTACACATATTCATTTCGACTAATCTTGGTACATCATGAAGACAAGCGCCAGCTGCTACGTTAGCTGAATTGACCAGAGAGAGCTCAAGTACCTTTTCTTTAGAACGTAAGCTGGAACAGAAGGACCTTTTCTTTAGCTTTCACGGTGGCTTAGAAAACGTCGTATTACAAGTTGTCGTAATGCAATACACAGACGTGAATCACTGATGCAGCTTAACTTTGTATGTACAAAGCTTCACTTCAAAACCTTATCTGAAAAGTAAGAATAGATGCATTTATCACTGCTTGCACTTACAAGCCTATATGTCGAAATGGTTAGAATAATTACGCTGACGAGAAATATTGATGATTTCTGGTGAGTTACACGTGGGAACCATGATGTGGTTGTTAGGCGCACCGCCCTGTGATACTGCGGATTAATTTTGACCACCTAAGCTGTGTTCCAACGTTCAGCTAACTAGCGTACATGAGTAATTTTTCATTTTGCGCAAAAATGTGACCTCTTTACAAGGTAATTGAGAGCGTGCATTTGAGGTCAGGTCATTCAAGTACTCTTTACGCGAACGCTCTTCTCGAATATAGGCAATAATAGACCTGTTTTCACTGTATACAACCTGGTTTCACACTGCCGTTACATTTCTAGGTGGTTTCGTGTTCAATATGAATTATTTTTTTCATATAGAGCCATGATGACAACCACACGTGCTTTGTATACGTTCTCTCTATGGTTTAAAGAATCTCGTATTCCGCACGGCTTCCAGGCAACGCTTCTGCACAAGGTGGAAGGTTCATTCAAGTATGGAAGTTAAGCACATCCTGGTTTACACATTCTTTCCGACCCTCGCGAAGTGTTTCTTCGAAGAAGTTGTGACTGTAAGCCAATGCAAAACTAAACCGCGTGAGAGAAGTGTCTGCCGGAAGCTCTTGACAATTGATGCATGCATGTGTATTGTGATTGTACGACAACATGCGCCTCAAGATACGTTTGGCACAGCATTGTCTTTTGCGCAGTAGTCAAGTGCTGTGCTTGTGACAAGATTAGTGACCTTTAAGCTACTAGATGGCATCCACATATATTTGGTATACCTGACTTGTCTACAGAAAATCGACAATAATGAAGTGGCTGCAGAACAAATGTTTCACAAAATTAGAATACTAGCCCTACATATACACAGCCTCTAATATTCCTAAACGATAACACTGTAGTGGCATTAAAACTCAGTGGTTGTACCCTCCTTTTTTTAACCAGCGCACCTCTTAAACGTCGTGTTTAAGACTTGTGGTACGCAAGGCGGGTCCTTGTACATATATGTCTCGCCAAAATTTGACAAGCATCACTTTTTACTTATGGTTAGCTAAACATATAATTAGGTAACAATGTAATGCCAATAGTTTCACTGTTTAGCAATCTTTTGCGACGTCAAGTGAGTGAAGATGCTTCGGCGTTTTGACGGAAAAAGAATGCTATCAATTTCACATGAACTTCTGCGGTGACTACTAAACCTTTTCCTAATATAGGCCACTCCGAATTACCCGACCAATTCCAGTATAAGCAATGACACATTTCCCTCTTGAGAAAATCAGAGTACAGTGCTCCGAGTCCACCATATACGCATGATGACATTTGCCCTTAGGCTTTGTAATCGGCACCGGTCCTGCAAGATTGCAAGAGGAAAACCACCAAGACCGTGACCTCAGCACCCCAAATGAAAAAAAAAGGTCGAATGCTAAATTTATTTCGCGCATGAACAAGTAGAATTAATGCATAGTTCTTGCTAGGACTTCACGTGACTTCAGTGAACTGTTCTTGCTGAATCTATTTTTATTTATCTATTAATAGAAAAAAAACCTTCATAGATAGTATACACCGAATATAAAGCATATTAATGAACATAAACAATTTCTGCAGCTACTCCGTACTTCTTCATCTCACCTAATAATGCACACAGAAGAAATATTCAGGTAATGGTTATTACATATCAATAAATAATGAACGATGTCGCGTGTTCACAGTATAGTGAGCCCACAATGTTCACAAAAACTGGGAAAATTTTAGTTTTGCATTTATTAGTTCAATGCATGTGTTCATTCCCTGCTACTCATTCACTGCCAAACGAGTTTCATAACGTAGAATGACTCATTATAAGCAATGCAGAGCGTTCCACCTTCACCAATCGCTCACGTTGTTCTCCTAATTACTGCGCACCCCAGGAAAAGCGGAAGAAGAAATGAGGCAGCTATGTTGAAGCCGCACCTGCGTTGACACAGTATGTTAAGCTGTGATTAGGAAGAACGATGGAATGGGCATAGAGGGAGGGGCGGGGGGACACGGGTGGGGCTGGCAGAAAGGTGAGGCAATGGAATTAGAACATCTGGGTTAAAAGAAAATGAGCTGTTAGAAAGCGTAATGTAGAGATGGTTGGGTGAGGCT